TGAGTGGCCTTGTGTCCTCAGAGTGCAATGGCTGCACCCCCTGGCCTGCCTCCCCACGCGAGCGATGCCTGGGAGTGCAGGGTTGGGTCTGCAATTGCCATGCAAAGAAATAACTCTAGAGCCATCATCGTGTGAGTATGGGGTTGGAGGTCACCATACCTCAAGTGTACTATGGCCATGTAGTGCCCTGTAATAGTTTAGCTCTCCAGTGCGGGTGGACATGGTTGCAGGAGTCATTGACTCAAGCTACCTTGAGAAGGTGAAGGTTGCAATCCTGCACTGGATCCCAGTCCCTGCCATGTACACAGGGAGACCAAATAGCCCAAATGATGTGTGAACAGATAGCGGTCCCCACTGTCCAGAAAGTAGATTTCTAATGATCTACCCAGCAGCCAGGCTGGGGTTTTGGGTCTACAGGGAGTGCTGTGTGGGTGCCTGATCTGACTAAACCCAAACAGCTGGAAGGGGAAATTATTGCTGATGGTCCAGGAGACACCCACCTGGTATTAATCAAAAGAGAAAGTGTCCCAGTCTGTGTCCCCTCTAGGAGACTCACTCAGAGAAGCATGACCTGATGAATATGCCAAGCGGAGTGACAACACTGCTGCTCTCCATCCTAAACCAATACACTGACAGTAGTTGGGATACCGACGGAACTGCGATGTGCGCATCAAACCCAACATCCACAAGACAAAGAGCCTACTTCGAGTACTACATGATGTAGAGTCTGAAGAAACAGCACAGGACAACCCCTAGCAGTGACTGTCATCAACAGCTGTCAAATTTAGGACTATGGGGAAAATGTGTTATGCTCCCGGTCTTCTGGGCTGATTAGTTTTCTGTGCCTAAATGTTTTAAGTGTGTGTGTGTGTGTGTGTGTGTATAGAAATCATACATACATATATATATAATGATTTAGTTGCTTGTACACCTTAGCTGCTAGTTGCGCTAATATCGGAAAGGCACGTCTGTACGTTGTGTGCACACTGGTGGCACCAATACCACGTCTCTGTCAGTCAGGGGGTGGAGTGTAGTGAGCACACCTGCGGAAGAGCTGGCGAGGAGTCAGTGCCTGGCAGAGTACGTGGTAGCAGGCCCCGTGTGTGAAGCCACGCGCTGCCCACATGCCCATCAGGGCCAGCCACGCGTATTCCGTTCTGTCAACAAAGTCTCGCTGCTGCCCGGACAGCAGTCTCTCAAGGTTGGCACAGCTGAGATAAGGAAAGAGTATGTGTTATGCTCCCGGTCTTCTGGGCTGATTAGTTTTCTGTGCCTAAATGTTTTAAGTGTGTGTGTGTGTGTGTGTGTGTATAGAAATCATACATACATATATATATAATGATTTAGTTGCTTGTACACCTTAGCTGCTAGTTGCGCTAATATCGGAAAGGCACGTCTGTACGTTGTGTGCACACTGGTGGCACCAATACCACGTCTCTGTCAGTCAGGGGGTGGAGTGTAGTGAGCACACCTGCGGAAGAGCTGGCGAGGAGTCAGTGCCTGGCAGAGTACGTGGTAGCAGGCCCCGTGTGTGAAGCCACGCGCTGCCCACATGCCCATCAGGGCCAGCCACGCGTATTCCGTTCTGTCAACAAAGTCTCGCTGCTGCCCGGACAGCAGTCTCTCAAGGTTGGCACAGCTGAGATAAGGAAAGAGTTCTAGCAGATTTAAGGGGCCCTTAGGATGCAATGAGTTGAGTCCCGCCTGGGCGTCTGACCGGTGCGTCCAGCAGCCTCCCATCAGCGACCCCTCCACGTGGCTCCTGGGGCTCCCATGCAGCTTGGAGAGTACGTCCTTCATTAAAGCTACCCTGTTTAACCCCTGATGCACCTTGAGTGTCTCTCCACGCCGGTATCTGACCCTCTCCTGCCCGCCTTGTGGTCACATCCTCTGTATGTGGCTCCTCTTTAGACCTCGTCAGAGAGTACGGGACTCTTGACACTACCCATTGGTGCTTTGCTTTTGCCTGACCTCACCTATGTCCTCTGAGCATTTAAAAAATTCCTCACGCTTGATTGAGACACCAAATAGCCAATTGGTGAAAATAAAAAAATGAAATAATCCAATGTGAGTCTTAGGGAAGCTTTTTAGGTACACACACACACACACACACACACACACGGAGTCACAGACCTCCCTATTCTTATCCCTATTATTCTTGCTGTTTTGGAAGAAGAAAAACAAACAGTCCTTGAAAGCACAGTGATTTTCAAATGCCAAACTATCCTAGGGAAAATGTAATTCTGCATCTCAAATCTTGTAGTAGCTTATGAACATATGATTTAATTCACACAAATGGTTCCACTGAGGATGACTAGTCACCAGTCCGAAGTGAAGTTCAGCTAGTGAATACTACCACTGCACAAGTCAAAGCATCCTATCTAAGAGGCTTTTCCACTAGTTATGGGGGTCTCATCTGAGAGCCTCAGCTCAGCTGAGGCCAGCTCAAACATTACAGAGAAAAGGGAGAAGAAAGCAAACTTAAGTCTTTTGGATCAACCCTATTTGCTGATAATTATGCTTTTTTAAACACATCTCTGTATGCAATCCAACCAGTATCAAATCAGAAATCTATAGCTTAATAATGAAAGAAAAATTTTGAGTATCTGTAAAAGAAATGTCTCTTCACCCTGGTTAAAACAATCATCATGAACTGGGATGGACAGGGGATGGCGCTCACTGCCTGCAGTTCTGTCCAAGGTTTAATTACAGGCCGGTGCACAATCCAATGTACAGAAAAACGCTTTAAAAACTTGTACTTGCTCCCATAATTTGATATATTCGAAAAAAATTTAAAATACACCTCAAAGTACAGATTCCAATGAAACACAGTATCACAGTTGTTCTTCAGATCAGATTTCAAAGCTGATTTATGTCTTTTACAGTTAAAGATACTGAATTTTTAAAGTCAAAAATTAACCTTCTAAAGTCATATTTAATTTGTGATCCTGAAAAGTCTTACTCATTTTCAATTTAATATAAGACAAACAGAATGCTCAGAGCTCTTACGTTACATTGCTTTACTAACTTCAGCTAAATTAACCCAAACTTACCAAAGCAGAAGCTCAGACCCAGTGGATTCACAAATGCTCAATGTATATAATGAAGGATGGACAGAATATTTAGGAGAACAAGAGTATCTGCAGAATGAGACTGAAATACGTATTCCAAGAAGCATATAATTGGCATAAAACACTGAAAAATCAGCAGCTTCTTGCCACTGCACTGAGAGCCCTGGAAAATTAGGCTGTTCATCTCACTGACAGGCTACAGATTCACAAACCAAATTACAGGAACTTGTTTTCTAAGTCTTTGTCTTACCATGTATTACCAAAAATGAAACACAATGAGGTAAATAAATTTTATTATTGAGTATTTTTAAAAGGGAAAGGCAAATCAGGTGTTTTAATTCATTGGATTTTGCTTAGAACCTCAGTTCTCTGTTTCTGTTCATAGAAAAGTATTCATTTGTTTCATATTCAAAAGTTTCTAGAGATGTCCTAAAAGCTACACGGAGATTTATTATGTCTCTGCTTTAAAAGTCAGTGCTGATTTACAGAGAAGCTCCTCACAGCAGGTATCAGGATAAAAAAACACCTACCTAAAATTATATTTTTCTTCCCAGGCAAAAATTTCAGTTTTTCAAGACATTCTTCCACATGAAAATAATTACCGAAAATAACTAAAAATGTTGTTGAATTTAAACTACTATTCTACCCATCACAGCAAAGCTCTTTGAGGCCAGCTATGCCAGATCACGTACTAACAAGCCGGCACATCTGCATTATGCACTGCGCATGGGGCTATGCACAGGGCACTGCCAGTTTTCTTGACTGGGCCTCAAACAAATTCCACTGCAGGTGACCAGCCCTGCATTGGGAAGGCAGAGAGCATCCTTGACTACTGCAGGAAATGAGCAGTCCACACCTCGGTGGAAAGGCAGAAGGGGATGAAGGCCAGAGGTGAAGCAGGGAGACACACACCCAGAGAGTGTGTGTCCCCTCCTCCAGGGGAACACGCCAGTCGCAGAGGGCTGATCCCCACCCGAGACGCTGAGCTGCAGAGGTCTGTTCCAGCGCCGAGTGAGTTCAAGCTGGTTTGAAAGTGGGAAAAAGCTAACTTGCTCCCAAGCAGTTCAACACCCGACCCAGCTGAGCTAAAGCCGCAGGCTCTCTGCAAGGCACCACGTCCAGATCCAGACAGGCCCACCACGTCTCCAGCATCTGGCTCGTGCTCTTTCCCGTTCAGGACATGCTCTATGGGTCAGACCACATCCTCTTTCCAGCACTGCAGGATCACAGAATCGGGATGTTCCCCAGCCTGCTTTGCTTATGGCTGAGGAAGACCTTGGTAAGGATTTCGATGGGACCCTGTTGTCTCCACGCACTAAGGGCTCTTGGGCCATGCGTGCTTGTTTCCCAGTGCCATGTCTGAGGAAGAGTGGGATCCTGAACTGCTTACTTTCCAGCAGCTCTGCAGGACCGGGAGGCCGAATGTTTCCCTCCTTTCTGACATGTCTGAGGGACACAGTTTCTTCCTGTATCCTCCAGCAGCTCCTGCAGATCCAGCAGAGCGTCTCGTGAGAGGAGGCTGCAACCTGGCTGCTTCAGACCTACTGCAGTATGAATTACACTTCCCCAACTTCTCTCCTGAAAAAAAGATATATATACATCTTTTAGAACTTACTGACTGCATGCCAACAGTCTTTTAAATAGGTAAAGACTATACCCATATAGAAGAAGTAGACTGTATTTTCCAGGGGAAGTCACCAGAACAAGGTATCTTTTTCTGATTTCAAAGTAGGGACCGCACAACTAAAACTACAGTCTGAAAACTGACGATTTAAGACTGTGTACCCTTAAAATAAAAATATCAGTAACATGCTATCCCTGGTTCTGACTCTGTGTGGTGCAACATTAATTTCACTGTGATTCATCCTCAACAGCATTTTATGCTCTTTTATCTGTATTTAGTTATATCGACCCAGCTGAGGTGCACGTGCAAGTTCTTAGCAACTTTATTATCTCCATTACTTATAATAGGTGTGCAGAGTCAAGGTTGGGTACTGGTTTCTTTCCTCTACACACATAATCAACAACAGAACAGTTTACCAATTTCAGATAATTTCAGTTCAGCTGAGGTCCCTCCGTTTCCAGGTAGAGACAGACAAAACGAGGAGAAAAAAGAAGAGAGAAAGCAGGGTCAACTTTTTCCTTAGTTGATGTCACTTCACATGGCTATTCTAGGATGTTCCCTCACATTGATTTTAGATCAGAAGAGAAATGACAGAGAAGAAATAGGCAAAACAGTTTCATCCTGCCATGAACAACAATAATGAAAACAGAACTTGAAAATGAAATAGCCCCCTCAAAAATGAAAAAAGAATAATCTAACACCTCTTTGCTTTTAGTGGATATAGAAGACAGGTTCCCCTCTTTTGGTATGGATTAAAATCTCCATGTAGGGAATGACAGCTTAAATAGAAAAACAGACCACAGACAAGAGTTTGGGAGAATACATGCATTTACGGACAGCGACTACTCATGTCCCATGCAGGAAATCTGGGGCCCAGCCCTGTGTGCACAGGGAACTTGGCAGACTATGTCATTGCGTAAGCCTGAGCTGCACTTCTGGATTTGCACAATCCAGACACAAAATCTCACTATCTACATAAAGCTTTGACCTAAGAGTAAATCTTATGAGTTAAGCGGTTCGACACCATATTAATTTATTACTGTGAAAAAGCAACAAATTCACAGTTTGTTTGATTAAATCCTGAAGCTAACGTAAGCGTGCATAGTTCTCCTTCCGCACTCAGACTGAAAGAAAATAATTGCTAGAGGTATTTCCTACAAAAAAGATACATCAGTGTTAAGCTAAAGTTTTCAAATATCTAGCAATTCATATTCATCACGAAAGTCCCCATGCTTTCTTACAGCAATAAGCAAAGTAAGCATTTAGCTTGACAAAGAACCACATTCCAATTAAAACAAAAAAATGCTCATTGCCCAAATGGCAGGATTTTTAGCCTCATTTGGGGAACTGGGAGGGAGAGGAGTGGAGAAAAAGGACAAGTGCAGGGACAGAGACTGTGACTGGCCCTGCAACAGGTCTGACTCGGGGAGTCACAGACAGTGCTGGAGCTTCGCCCTGTGCCTGGCCCTGCCGTGCTGGCAAGCACAGGCACCACTGGATCACTAACAATCAACTGGAGATAAGTCTCCACAAAAGCATCTCCGTAGCATACATACACCGTGAAAAATTTCTACCACTTGTGCAGTACTGTGAGCATTTCAGCAAGTTTTCTGTTCTAAAAAATAAACCTCCGAGCCTTCAAAGAGGCTTTCACAAGTCTAGAACATAGCTATACCTCAGTACTTAAAAACCAGACTGTGCTCACTAATAAACTGACTTCACCACACTGCACCTTTTCAGGAAAAAAGGCAAGCCAACCTCAGTGAAGGCTGCTCAGTCCACACACGCATCTGACACATGCACACACTAAAACGCACTTGAAATGATAACGTTCGTGGCTTGTCTAAATTTCACTGAGGCAGTGCTAAACATTTCCACGTACTCTGAGCGACCCAGTGGTCCACATGCCATAAGCACGTACCAGATGTGGGACTCCAGCTAGCCTTGCTGTGCTGCAAAACTACGGCCAAAAGAAAGGGTCAGCAGCAGCAGAAGTTGTATCCCACAGACACAAATACGTGAAACAAACTTGCAGTTGGCCAAGGCTTGCAGCCTTTTCAGACTGCAAGACTCTGTTGGCTCCTATTTCTTAAAATTGTTAAGTGCTTATACTTATACAAATATTGATTTTTAGATGTATTATATATAAATGTTACTATACTCCATTTATTTACGCAATACACAATATCTGCATCACAGCATATCACATAGCCTCCTCAACAAAATAAATATGTATCATTACACTTGATGTTAAGCTGTACACAATATCTGTGTAACAGCATATCATGTGGCTCCCTCAGCAAAAGAGAGAAAACTATACTCAGTTAAGCAATATCCACATAACAGCACATAAGGCATAATGTATTCTATACTTCACTTAGCTTAGTAAATAGTATCTGCAGAACACTGCGTAACACAGCAGCCTCCACTTTACATAAAAATATATATAAGCAAACATGAAGAGATATACATACACACACACATATATTGATATATAAAAAAACATACTTAATTGAGCTAAGCAACACACAATACCCACACAGCTGCGTGTAAACACAGCACCCTCCACGTTATATATAAAAATATACACATGTAAATATGTAGAGAGATATACACTCAAAAATAAGTATGATCTTATATAGATACGCACATGTACAAAAGTATAATGAAAGTATATTGTGTGTGTGTGTATGTATATGTGTGTGCAGGTGTGTATATTTATTTATTTATCTATATAATCGCACTTAATTTAGCTAAGCAATGCACACTACTCCCATAGCAGCCCGCAGCACAGCACCCTCGGCACGCCATACGTACTCACGGTGCTATCAGGCTGAATTTGCCCCAACAGCACACGGTGTCCGCGGCCGCGCACCCTCC